GCACTTTGCAAGTAAGCCTGACAGCCTCCATGTTGAAGGTTACATTCTACTTTTAGGTTGGCCATTGATAGGGCCCAGCTCTTACACATCACTTGCTTCCCTGAGTCCTGGGTGGCAATCCTGAGACCTAGATGGTGCCCAACCCTCCTGCAGGAAGGATAAGGGCAGGGACTCTTTTGCCTGGAGCTTTACATCTACAGGTCCTAGACTCTTGGGCTTTCCTCCTTAACTACCTGCAGAAGTTGCCTATTCCTAGTTCTTATCCAATTAGGAAAGCCTACTCCTTCCCAGCCAGACTCTTAGCTATTCTGTTGCTTCATGAACTGGGCCATACCCCTCACTGTATGGAATTTCTGCATCAAACTGGTCAAAGGCTCATTCCTTGGAGTTAAGAGGAGGGACATCTCAATTGGTTTGTGGAATTAAGGATCTAGGGTCATGTCATGTGTTGCTCTGCTCTCTGCTACTCCCAATTTTTATATATCAACTAGAGGCCCGGTGCACGACATTCATGCACTGCGGATGGTGGTGGTGGTGGTGGTGGTGGTGGTGGTTTCCTCAGCCTGGCCTACGCTCTCTCGCAGTCTGGGAGCCCTTGGGGGGATGTCCAACTGATGGCTTAGCCCCGCTCCCCAGAGGAGCGGGCCTAAGCTGGCAGTCAGACATCCTTAGTGCTGCTGCGGAGGCGGGAGAGGCTCCCGCCACTGCAGCTGTGCTCGCCGTGAGCCTGGCTTCTGGCTGAGCCACCAGGGGGCAACTCCTGCATCGAGTGTCTGCCCCCTGGTGCTCAGTGCAAGACATAGCGACTCGTCTTTCCACCGTTCGGTCAATTTGCACAGTAGCCTTTTATTTTATAGGATTATTATATAGGATGAGACCTCCTGTCCTTCTCACTGTGGGGGTCTTTCTAGATGCAATTTTATATTTTCAGATGGTAAGGCTACTGATTTCTTAGGCTCTTGCTCCATTCCATTTCCCTCTCTCTTGCTATATTTCTATTCTTCCTATAGCTTCCTTTTAGTCACAAAGGAAAATCTCTATCATCTATTGACTATTCTAGGATATAAGTTTTTATGACTTCGTTTAGGCCCATTTTGTTTTCCTAGTCCTGATGCCTTCTCAGTTAGGATTTGAAACCAGTTCCCTTATAGAGTTACACCAAACTGTTCCTAGACTGATGGACCATCCTGAATTGGGCAACAGCAATTCTCTTCCGAGAACCATCAGAATGACTCTAAAGACAGTAGAGGTACGTTTCCTCCCCGACTCTTTCTAAAGGCTGAATATATCTATATTAACCTTGGCCTGTTCAATTCCTTCTGATATTTGGGGAATAGGCTCTCTTCTTCAACTTTCCCCAAGTTCTCCAGAACCTGGATAACTTTTGATCCCTTACTTAGAAACGACATAATTCTTCCTTCCCTACCCATAGCTTCACCCGTAAAGGAGAGAAGTCTAGGAGCTGAGCTCTGCCCCTAGCTTTTAGTAACATAGCAATAGCCTTGTGTGGTCACTTCCTGTCTATCCATCTCCAAAATGCCTGTAGTCATATGCCTAGAATGGAGCTTCAAGTACTCTGAGCACTGTGGCTAAGCAGGAAATACGATACTCTCTCTAGGAACCATGGAGGCTCATTTGGGTCAAGTTCATCAGAGGGAGGAAAATGTTCTGGAGGTAAGAACCAGCCAAACACAAAGACAGATAAGAAGCCCAAGAGATCAATGAGGGAAAATAATAACCTCCTGGCTTTGTTTGCAATTGTCACTGAGCTCCAGAAAGTACTATCATCTGGATCTACTTTTATAAGATATCCTTTCTCTCCAGGCAGCTCCTCCTACCCATTTCAGGAACTCTAGGTAGTCCTACTTCCACAGAGAAGCCAGTTACTCATTAATATTTCTCCCCACAACAGGATCCCTCTTTCCTGTTTCCTTCTCTATCTCAGCAAAGCTAGCTCCAACCTGATCATTTCAGTGAGTGTTCTCTGCCTCCTGGCTAGAGTAGGGACAAAGAGGCTGCCAGTTCTCACAAATGTCTCTGCCCTTAAAAATTATAGCCGTGCTTCCTGTCCTAAGGTGCTAAGGTAGGGGGTGGGCAGTAGATGTTCATGGGACCCTCACCATCATATTCATATAACTCTATATTACCAAAGGACAGTATAAGCTTTACAAAGAAATGGTAGGTCCTAAATTAATAATCATGGCAAAATACTAGGTAGCCAATGAAGAGACCTGCAACTTGAGATTAGGCAAGCACACACATGGAACTTGAGGCAATGCATGCATGCATGCATGAAAAAAAAAAAAATAGGCCTATGGACTCTCCAGCTAGGTATACACACCACACACACACACACACACACACACACACACACACACACATTTCTTTTTATATTCAATGACCTGGATGTCCAAAACCATATTGCTAGCATGCACACTATTGTGATAGATAGCCTAGACAGCTCATACCTCCTTCTCTCCCTCTTCCTCTTAAGAGAGGGATATGGGTATTAGAGTAATCTTTAGCTTGGGCCTCTCCACTAAGCTCCCATATATCTTGACTTTTAAAGGATAGAGGGCATCTTTGCAGATCCCAAAGTTCGCCCAGTGTCCTGGGCTATCCTTGCATCTGGCTCCTTTTCATCCATTTAGTTTTAAACCTTGGAAAAGCCTCTTTAATGGTAACAAAAAGTAAATGAATAAAAGACCACAATTAGATGGACTACCCTTTCCTTCTAAACCAAGTTCAGGTACCCAGATAAGAGTCAAGGGTTGTGCTTAAGTTCTCTATACCAGCTGTGAGACAGAAAAAGAGTAGAAGAGGAAAGGGTTTTACTTGGAGGTCCCTCAGCATTTCCCTAGAAATGGTAGATATTAAGCCTCCCCACAATATGTCAGCAGGACCCAAGTTCTCTATCTAGGCTCACTATATGATACACATCACCAGTTTAAGGATTCCTTCTGCCTCCAGGCAACTAGATGCCCAAGGAAAATTATCAATACTGCAAAGCTACAAACACATGCAACTCTTCCAAAGCCATGCTTTGTTACTAAGGAGGGGTAAGTTGTGCTCTAAACAATGGAAATGGGACCCACATATTACGTATAAAAAATAAGCATTTAAATAAATAAATATAAAGGGGAGAAAGGAGAGGGAGAGGGAGAGAGACCTTGAGGTTCTTAAAGAGTAGTACCCTCTCTAACTGGTTCAGGGCTTTGGTCTGCTCCCCACTACTTAGCTCCAGTTTGTTGAGGAGACATGGAGAAATCTGTGAAAGACAGGCAAACGAATGATTTAAACAGAGTGAAATAAACTCAGACACAAGCCAACAGGGCACAGGGCAGGAATAGGGATGGATGGCAGGGGAGAGGGGAAGGTCAGGTGCATGCATCAAACAGCCAAGGGTCATCATAGACAGAACCTCTTAGGGCTGCAAGCAGAATCTTCATGAGAGGCCTGTGAAGTCCAGGGCTTCCATTCAAGATAGAAAGAGGCCATTCCTCTGGCCACCATTCTCTTCCACCAGTTTGAGAACCTTCTGATCTGGAGTCAGGCTTGATTTATCTCATCATGATAAGCATGAGCCCAGTCTAATCTAGCATTAGAGTGAGATTTGGGGCATAGACTCTCTAGGCCTTCTAACCTGCTGACAAGGCTGAACCCTGAGGGGATGGTAGGTCTTTCACCTTTACCAACATATATTTTTAGCCCAACCTGATGAGCTTCATCTAGTTTTTTAGGAAGGACTGGCTCACCAGCTTATTTAGTAGGATAAACAAGATAAGCTGGAAAGAAAAGGTTGGAAGGAGAGGTATCTGGGAAAGAATACATTTCTCACTAAAGTTACGATAGCTATTTCTAGCTTACAAACAAATCTGTCTACGCAAAAGCATGTTTTTGCTAAGCAAGGGTATCCAGGAAAATTCCCATCCAAGGAGATCAAGGTTTGGATGAGGGACAGCAGGTCATACCTTCTTCATGTTGGTGCCCACATAGTTCTTGGGTTCTTCTTTAAACTGAGGTAACCTATAGTACAAAGAATCCCGCGGACTGTCATTAGGAATAATAACAATTTTCCCCTCCATGCCAGCCACAGCCCAAAGATGCTCTGGGACAGAGCATGCCTGTCTCTTAGGAATAGCTAGGAAGGAAGCAAGCTAATTTCACCCTTTTCAGAGCTTCATCAAAGAGCCACAGGATTTGGGAGATGTATGATATAGACACTTTCTAAAAAAGAAGGTAGACGTCAGGGCAAAGTAACTAAGTGTGGAGCCTCTTTTCATCCTTAAACTGACTCCTACTCCTTCACTTGGCAAGTATTGCTGAAAACCACAAGATGGGGAGAGGGCAGTCAATCAAAACCCCAGGAGATGGCATAGGATGTGAAGTAAAAGGCAGGCTGAAGTTCTGAAACCAGGAAATTGGAGCCAGAGGAGTACGAAACTCTTTAAAGCAGAGTCCAGGGGCAGATCTAGTCTGCTGATAATAAGGATTATTATTTATAGATCTGAGAGCAAAAAAAAAAGTCCCAGAAAGAGGCTTAAAAAAAAGATTATTTTTTAGAACAATTTTAGGTTCACAGCAAAATCAAGTAGAAGTTACACTGATTTTCTGTATTATCCCTGTCTCCACATATGCATAACCTATCCCATTATCAATATGCCCTACAGGGTGGGGGGCTTTAAAGCCCTTGCCTCAGCTCTTCTCAAAGTTATTCTATTGAAAGGAGGTGCAGGTAATAGAGAGCTAGTCATAGTATGAAAAGGCCTCCTAGGACCTAAGTTGAGGGCCTTGACTAGGATAACCAATAGTCTTGGTTTGCCTAAGACTGAGGGAGTTGTGGGGATGTGGGAGTTTCAATGCTAAAATTGGGATAAACTGGGCAAACCAGGATCATTGGTCATGCTAGCCTTGGTCCTTCCTCACAGAAATGGGGGGCTGAGCTCTAAGAGCTCGGCAACCTGTTCTAGGCTCCCTTGACTTTGGCTTCCTCTCTGGGTTCTCTTTCCCAGCTGCTACCTGTACACAGACACAAGTCGGGGAAGCAGAAAGAGGTCTGTTAGCCTAGATCAAATATCCCTCTGCCTCCTCCTGAGGCCAAGCCAGTTCCCTCCTCCTTCTCCCTTGATTGGTAACCCTGGGCCCAGAGAAGTACCCCCATCCTAATCCCATTGGCCTCTGATGTGGCTGTAGGACTGGCCAGGTCCCCGAAGTGGCTGTGTAGAAGCAGGCAGGCTCAAGAGGCCTGGACAGCAGGGCTGAAGCAAACAGCAGCAGGTTTACCTTGTGAAGAGCAGCTGCACCATGTCTACGAGAGTGTGCTCTGCGGATTTTCTCAATAACTCTGCACAGGCAAAAACAAATAACACAGGTGTCATTACTTGCCGTGCTATTATCAGGAGGCTTCTCAGAGCAGACTCCCCTCCAAACCTTGTTTACCAAGGATTATGCCAAACTTATTAAAACCAGCTCCATCCAGCTCAGGCCGGCAGCCATAACTTCACTGGCCCACTAGGTGGCACTACTGAGTCAGGAAAAAAAGGGGTGCAATGATTGTGTTCTTAGGGATCTTGCCTGGTGTCAATCCCAGAAATCCCAGGGGAGGGAGATTTGGTGCCTGGCCTGAGTTAGTCAGGGATCTATTCTAATTCTTGCTCTGGCACAATGGGCTAAGTTCTCTACTCTAGCTGCAAAACAAACAAGTCAAGTACAGAGAGAATTCTAGACTCCTATGGTCGACAAGGTAGGTGATAGAGAAGTTCCAAGTTTTCTGTCTCTCTGGGTTCAGGGATAGCATCCTGTATTCATACTCACAATGGCCCTAGGAAAGGTGAAGGGCCCAATATTCAAGCACTTACCACTGAGCCTCATTTCAAAACAGATCCGGAAACAAGACTGCATAATCTCACATACAGATTCATTGGTTAAGTGGGCACCCACTGGGGTCAGCAAGAGAGTCCGCAAAACCTACCAGGAAGAAAGAGGAGATACTGTGATAAACAACGCAGGCAACATGAAGAAGAGTGTACCTGAGGGGAAAGAAGCTACTTCTTGTTCTTCTAGTCTCCTATGGAAGCACTCGGAGTGAAAACAGAGGTTTGCAAGAATGCTGATCTTGCTTCAGTTTGGCAGTGGGGTCTCCCAGAATCTTGTCTTAGAAACTGTGTCTTTACTCTGTATGACCCTGACATAGTTCAGAGCTCTTTCCAGCCCTAGCCTGCAAGCCCAACAGATGGATGGCACAGATACAAGCTGCCAGAGATACAAGTGTATTAAGGGCTTCCGGTATTTGATATCGAATCATTCAAAGCTTTTAATTATTTTCCTTAGAAAAAGCTTTTACTTTGGGTACCCGAGCTGCTTGTTTGGAAACAAAGTAGCTCCCTAAGCCCCATTGGAGTCAAAACACAGCTTCATGCTGCCGGCAGACTGGCAGACTGGGGTAAGTAGAGCCAATGGCATCAGCTGCTGGCCATTAGCCTAACTGCTCTTCCCCTCCATTTACCTGAAGGATTTTCATCAGGACAACCTCATCGCTGGCAGGATCCGTGCCCACAAAACGGGCGTGGGTGACAGCATCTGCCATATTCTCCATGCCCTCTGCTGTGCCCTCATGAGTGGGATCTGTCCAGTGAAAAAGGAAGATTAAATGATGTGGAGAAGAGAGAAAAAACAAGACATCCTGTCGAGGAACTGCTTTGAGACTTTGGTTTTCTCCTCTTCAGTTCCTTAATCCATGGTTCCTTGGGCTACCTGAGAATTTTAGCCTATAAACGACTTTAACAAGCTCCTCAGCATAAACTCCACTGTGTAAAACAGTGATTCTCAAACTTAAGCATATTTCAAATCATTTGGAGGGCTTGTTAAAAATATAAATTGCTGGGGTCACTCTCAGAATTTTTGATATAGCAGGTCTAGAGCGAGGCCTGAGAATTTGTGTTACTAACAAGATCCCAGGTGATGTTAACACCGCTGCTTAGGGGACCACACTTTGGGAATCATTGCTGTAAAGCTACTCATTTCACAGAGAAAGGGACAGGAAATATGAGTTGTTGGCCCAGAGTAAGGGCTGAGTAGGGCAAAATCTTTGAATGCCAAGGCTGAAGCCTTTCTTTTTTCATGTGTTTTCTTTAATACATCCCTCTCTGGTTGCTTTTGGAGTTTTGTGTTCAGATGCCACTGAGAAGGGAAATAAGGGGAGGAAATGGACAGTCACTGCCACTAATATTCATATCTGGGTGCCACATTACAGCAAATCACAGACTTCTTCCTGATTTGGTTTCATTCTTACTTAAAACAATATGACACATGCCGAAACCGGTTTGGCTCAGTGGATAGAGCGTTGGCCTGCGGACTGAAGGGTCCCAGGTTCGATTCCGGTCAAGGGCATGTACCTGGGTTGCGGGCACATCCCCAGTGGGAGATGTGCAGGAGGCAGCTGGTCGATGTCTCTCTCTCATCAATGTTTCTAACTCTCTATCTCTCTCCCTTCCTCTCTGTAAAAAAAAATCAATAAAATATATTTTTAAAAGAAGGAAAAAAAAACGAAAACAAAACAAAACAAAACAAAAAACAAAAAAACAATATGACACAGAGCAAGACTCCTGTTACCAGCTTAACTAAACAGGCATTAGGAGAGAAAATGGACAAACTAAACAGGACTGAGAGCTGGCTACTTGGTGAGTATGAGAGAGGGAGAATTTCAACTGTGAATAAGATAAAGGGAAAAGCTAGAGGTCAATCAGCACCATACTGGAAGCTAACACAAATGTTACCAAGGGGAAAATTCTGTTCATGTGTTAAATGTCCACTAGGAGTAGCCAAAGAAATGGCCTCCCCCAAGGCCTACTAGGGTCCTGAGAACTATCTGGATTGTCCTTAAATGGGGAACATAAGTAGAAAAAAAAGGGGTAGGGTCATGACAAAATTTTGTGACTGACAGAAAAGTTGCTCTAGAAATAGCATGATGTAATACAGGAGCACCTTCTAGTTTTAAGTGGTAGGAATTGTAAGAAAGTTTTATCATTTTCTCTATCCTGTTATCTGAAATTATCAGAGTTCTTGAGCCTAAAGCTCAGGGGATGGCTAAGAAACCAGAACATTTCCCTTGCAACAATGAGCCAGGAGACTTTCATTAATTATAAGTGGTTTTCATCTTTCTTTTCTGTCCTGGTTAGTCTCTGACACTTAGTCAGGCTGCTTTTGTCCTACATACAACATGCCTTTACTCAGCATCAGGAGTGGCTACTTTAGAGGTCATGCAGAAGGAAGCCAATTTCATGATATATAGCATATGGCAGGGGTCATCAAACTTTTTAAACAGGGGGCCAGTTCACTGTCCCTCAGACCGTTGGAGGGCCGGACTATAGTTTTTAAAAAAACTATGAACAAATTCCTATGCACACTGCACATATCTTATTTTGAAGTAAAAAAACAAAACGGGAACAAATACAATATTTGTGTTTGCATGTGGCCCGCGGGCCGTAGTTTGAGGACCCCTGGTATATGGGGTAAACCAGCTCCTTCTATCACCTCAACTCTCCTTGTTTCTCCCAATCAACACAGAAAATCTGAAGGCATACCTTGCCTTATTGTGCTTCATTTTATTTCACTTCACAGATGTTGTTTTGTAGAAATTGAAGGCAAGACCCCTCACCAGCAACAATTATGATTTGCTTTATTGCAGTGATCTGGAACCGAACCCACAATATCTCTGAGGTGTGCCTGTACACTCAAGGCCCTTGCCTGAATCCTCTCTCAGCCCTGCCAGACAGTCCTTTTTCAGGCCTCCAGGGACCTTTCCTTGCACAGGAAATCCAGGTCCTTCTCAAAGTCGCATGGTGTGTCAGAGCTCAGTCAATGGCAGCCTTGCTCCCATCTCATAAGGCTCTTGGTGGCCCATTTCTTCCCCTCCTTCAGAAATCTCCCTTATTCAAGTAGTGTAAACTCTTTTTTAAAAAATATGTTTTTAATGATTTTAGAGAGAAGGTGAAGAAGTGGAGAGAGAAAGAGAGAAACATTTATCGATCAGTTGCCTTTTGTATGCTCTCCGACGGTGATCAAACCCACAACCCAGGCATGTGCCCTGACTGGAAATCAAACCGGCAACTTTTCAGTGCACAGGATGATGCTCAACTAACTGTGCCAGGCTCTATCGATCTTTTTGTAGCCCTTATCCTCTGAGCTTGAATGAAGTAGTAAGAGTGACCGGTCTTTAACTACAGTAGACATGGCCCACCAGTAAGGCAGGCAATCAATGGCACAAATCCTGATCTGGCAGCTGAGTGGGGCCAAATAAAAAGCTGGTCCTTGGAGTTAGACCTAAAATAATCCTAGAAGTCTTGGGCCACAGAACTGAGGTGGTAGTGTCTTCTAAAAAGGCAGCCTAAACAAACGAGTGTTTGGCTTGGACTCATTTAGCAGACCTTGTGTTCCCCAGGACCCATTCCTTAGAATGTCTTTCCTTGGCCACTCTGGAGCAGACTACAGGGAAATTTGCCAATTTCATCTCCTTTGCCTTCTGGCTTTCATACACTCCTTCCTCTCCTTTTCTCATGCCCACTGCAATCACCACCTCCAGCATTTTCTTTTCCCACCACAGGAAACTCCAATGACCAGCTGGCTTGAGGTCTCCAATGACCAGCTTGTCTGCCAAGTCCAGGAAGGGGAGAGAGTTACATCAACAGGAGAGCAGGGAAAAGACACAGAGGGCAGCTGCTGGAGGCTGTGAAGAGAGATGACCTGCAGGTGGTGCTCAGGACAAGGCTGGAAGTAGCTGGGCCTGATATTTGCATAGGAAAAGTATAAAGCTAGGACTAGGGTGCATGGGGAGGCTGGTGTGCCTATTCAGAAACTACCTGACACCCAGGATTCGTGCTGAGGATCTTGAATATGTCAGCTAAGCAAATCCAACTTTCTAGAAAAGATAAACTATTTTTTTTGCCCTAAACTGAAGGCCATTTTTCTTTTTGGCTAGCTTCAGTCTCTTTTCTTGTCTTCTTAGAATCAACGACAGCAGCCTGTTTTCTATGTTCCTTATCCTTGCACATGGGCTGTCAATAGGGGAAAAGAAATTCAGGATCCTGAGTGACAAGACCAACTAGAAGAAATTCAAAAGAGACACCATAAACAAATTCAGAGGTAAAAAAAGACTGGATAAAATAATTGGGCTATATTGGGAGAAAATATTTGCAATACTGTGATAGACAATGGGTTAGTATCTCCACTATACAAAAAACTCCTACAAACTGATAAGAAAAACAAAAAACTCAATAAAATAATAGGCAAAGGAGAATAAATTCAAATGTTCAACCTCAAGAAAATAAAAACAACAAAATACCAGTTTTCACCCATCAAATTAGCACAACTAAAGAATACTGATAATATTCAGTGCTGGTGATAGGGTGGGGAAATGGAAACCCTCAAACATTACTGTTGGAAGTGCAAATGCTGTAATCTTTTGGGAAAGCAACTTGGTAGTACCTATGAAAATATAATAAGCACGTGACCTTTTAATCCAGAAATTTCAAGTATAGGAATCTGTCATACAAAAGGAAAATTAATAAACAGGATATATGAACAAAGATGCTTATTTCACCATTTATAATGGCTCGAAATAGGAAACAATCTAAATAGTAAATATTAAACAATAAGATAATGACAAAATGGACTGAGTTATATCTATACTATGGAAATTATATAGCTACCAAAAATACAAAATTTTTTACTAGGGTTGAGGAGAAGAAAAATTTCATTTTGGTGTGATGAAAAAGTTTAGGAAACAGATGGTGCTGTTGGTTGCACAACATTGTGAATGTAATTGATGCCACTTAAAATGATTTAAATGGCTAATTTTATATTATATGTTTTAAGACAATAAAAAAAGAATATATAAGCTTCCAATTTCAAAATTAATAGGTTCTGGGGATGTAATGTACAGCATGGTCACTATAGTTAACAGTACTATATTGTGTATCTGAAAGTAACTAAGACAGATCCTAAAAGGTCCCATCACAAGAAAAAAAACTGTAACTATATGAGGTGATAGATTTTAACTAAACTTATATTTATACATATATCAAATCATTATGCTGTACACCTTTAACTAATATAATGTTATATGTCAATTATATCTCAACTAGGGGCTGGTGCATGAAAATTCATGCACTGGAGGTCGAGGGCCCTCAGCCTGGCCTGCCCTCTCTCACAGTCCAGGAGCCCTTAGGGGTGGGCAGCCAGCACTGGTTACCTGCGCCTTGGGCTGGCCCTGGGCTTCTGGGCAGCCGCCATTTGAGGCTTGCCTGAGCCTCAGTCAGTGGGGGGTGCAGGAGGACCTGAGGCCCCCGGTGGGGCTGAGGGGACTGGGTGCTGCCATCTTGTGAGGGTGTGGTAGTCAATTAGCATATTCCCTCTTTATTATATAGGATAAAATGGGGGGGAGGGGAACCAGGTATATAATTATATAATGTACATTTTTCAAAGTTGATTTTTTTTCCCGGGAAATTTCGACAATACCCTCATTTTTTTCTTGATTTTTATTTTTAAAATGTTTTTATTGCTTTTTAGAGAGAGAGGAAGGGAGAGGGAGAGATAGAAATATCAATGATGAGAGAATCATCTATCAGCTGCCTCCTGCACGCCCCTTACTGAGGATCAAGCCCATAACCAGGGCATGTGCCCTGACTTGGCATCAACTAGCAACCTCTTGGTTCCTGGGTTGACTCTCAACTGTTGAGCCAGTTGGGTTAAGGTAATACTGTTAAATAAAAAAAGAAAATATGTAGCACATAATCCTATTTTATTTTTTAAAAAGATGGTACTCTTGCCCAGCCATGATGGCTCAGTGGTTGAGCATCAACCCATGCACCAGTTCAATTCAGGTTGGGGCACATGCCCCATTTGCAGGCTCTATCCCCAGTGTGTGCGTGTGTGTGTGTGTGTGTGGGGGGGGCAGGGCAGGGCATGCAGGAGGCATAGAGATATTTCTATCTCTTTCTCACTCTCCCTTCCTCTCTCTGAAATCAATAAAAACGTATTTTAAAAAAGGAAAAACAGCTATGGTACTCTTTATATATTTATATACATGTGGAGAAAGTTCAAACCAGTCTGTTAACATTATTTACCTAAGGAAAGAGTAGCACTGAGAAAGATAGAGGAGAATCCATTAACTTTTCTTTTAGACACCTCTTTATTGTTTATCTTCTTAAAATAAGCATGCATTACATTTAAAAAATAACTTAAAAATAAACCAAACAAAAAAAAGAAAAAGAAAAAGAAAAAGAAACCAAACCAAGCCCTAGGTGGTGTGGCTCAGATGCTAGGAGAGTCATCCTGTACAATGAAAAAGGAACCAAACCAAACCAAACCTCTAAGAGCACCCACCAAACCCTTAACTCCCCGCAAAGCACAAAGAAATTAGAGTCCCAAGAAACCTCTCTTCTCTCCTCACTTGCAAAACCTGAATCAATTAGCACGATAAATAATCAATAATCCTATTTCTCTTCTACAAGGAAATGGATGGCTGGGAAAAACTTTCCAGTATCACCAGCTCATTGCCTAAAGCCTGACCAGCAGGAAATGAAGTGCTTATGGTCATCCAAAAAGCCTGGTCTCTTACCTATGAGTGCATAGGACAGGAACTTGTTGACAGAGGTGAGTGCCAGTCCAGTGATAGGCCCAGTGGTATCTTCAGAGCGAATCACTTCCAGAAATGGACGAAGAAATACATTGGGCTCAATTTCTGAGAGTTCTGCAAGAAAAGAAAGAGGAATGAACAGGTGCCATCTAACAAAAAGCTAAACTCTAGAAAAAGGTCCTTCTTATTTGTGTCATGAGGCTCGAATTCTTAGTCTCCAGAGCAACATTATCATGGTTTTGAAATTAACAATAAAATGGGTCATATAGATTTTATGTTATGTATCTATTTCTACAATGTTTAATTCCTTAATATCATCAAATATTGCTGGGTCAATTTCCATGTCCATCCTCCCTATTGATGAGGTAAACCTCATCTTGGATACAGCCAATATGGTCAAAGAAATCCTGGGGTGAGCTGCTGTTTTTGTCTTTCGCTGTTATGATCAATCATTTTTCTTAGAGATAAAGAATGTATAAGCACACCTTAGGAAGGTGGGGGGAAACCTTGCTAAAAGAAACAAATATACATACATACATACATACACACACACATACATACATAAATCTAACAAGAACAAAAGGTTATACAGTCCCTACCCATGGAGGAAGTTTGTAATTTTGGATGGTCCTAACCTAACCTCTCTCCAGCCTTCTTTCTGCCTACAGCAAGCAGAGGTCTAACTGCTCTGAGATGAAGGGGAAATTCATAATCTTTATTTTATAGATGAGAAAAACAAGGCTCAGATAAAATAGATGATTGGCCCCCCAAAATTATACAGCTAATACGAAGCAGAGCTGGGATTTGAATCCAGTCAATAGAGTATATGGTTGTAAAACCACTACATTTATTCTACCTAATTACCAGCATATACTCCTGAATTTAGAAGGTCTAAGAAGTTATACTACACTGGACTTGCTCTCTACCCTACTTTGCCCAGGGTTTAATTTGTTTTTCTAGAATATGCTGTGCTTTCATCAGTCAAAGACCAGCTCCCTGAAAGACTTCCTAAATAGGCCAGAAAGATTTAGGGACATCAAGGTTGCTCACCTTTAGAGACAAAAGAAAGCTAGGCTTCCTAAACACCTTTATTTTCATGCAAATGCAGGAGATTCTTCCCACTCAATTCCTACCACCACCACCCGGTGGGTAAACACTCCCTGGGCCGGCTGCTCCTCAGATTAATGTTTTAATTAATTGGCAGATTGAGTAGCATTTTCCAAGCTTGTCTGTTCAGTGATCACATCAGCTGTGTAAAACCTGCTTCTCATCCTCCACTACCCCCACCTAGAGCTGTACAATTCGCAGAAGAAAAACCTTTGTGTGTGTGAGGTGGTAGAGTGTTGAGATGCAAGGAATAGAAATATCTGGAAAAACTGAAAAATATAAAACCTTTTTTCTTATTTTAATAATCTTAACATTTTAAATACTTTTGAAAAAGCACATTAAAAGATTTAAAGTAATCTAGAGTTGCTGCTTTAGGAACACAACTGTATTATATATGATTTGGTCTGTCATTTAAAATATATTTGGCATAATTTGAAATATAAAAGTCTAGATGGGAAAAAACCTTTGAGAGGTGGGACAGGGTACATTTCTTCTGAGCTTTCATACAATTGCTATTATCACATTGCTTCATGTCTTCATTCATAGTGAAAGACCAGGGCAATTTTATAGCCATGATTTGATACTTTCAGAGCAATGTGTATTCTGCCTCTTTAAAAAAAGTTTTTAATTTTGTAAAACTGTCTCTTTTGGTATAGAGTTCAACAAATTCTAACACACACACAGATTGGAAATCAGGATATAGAACAGTTTCATCACGCAGAAAACTCCTGTTATCCCTTTGTAGTCAGCCCCCCCCCGCGCCCCCCCCCCGCCTCCGCAACCTTTGTCAACCACTGACCTTTTCTCCATCACCATAGTTTTATCAGGAAGTTCATATAAATGGGATCATACAGTATGCAGTCCTTTGAGAATGGTTTCTTTCATTCAGCATGATGCCTTTGAGACTTGTCTAAATTGTTGCACAGACCAACAGAGCTGCTATAAACATTTGTGTACAGATTTTTATGTGAAGAACATTGGTATCTCAATGTGGTTTAAATTTGCCTTTCTCTAATAGCTAGTGACATCAAACATGTTTTTTTGTGTGCTTATTTGCCATTCATGTATCTTTTTTGATGATGTGTCTGTTCATATCTTTTGCCCATTTTTATTTTTTTTAAATAAATTTTATTGACTTTTTACAGAGAAGAAGGGAGAGAGACAGAGAGCCAGAAACATCGATGAGAGAGAAACATCGACCAGCTGCCTCCTGCACATCTCCCACTGGGGATGTGCCTGCAACCCAGGCACATGCCCCCAACCAGAATCGAACCCGGGACCCCCCAGTCTGCAGGCTGATGCTCCATCCACTGAGCCAAACCGGTCTTGGCCCATTTTTAAATTGAATTGTTTGTTTCCTTACTGTTGAGTTTAGAGACTTTTGTCTATTCAGGATAATGCAAGTCCTTTATTGGCAATACAATTATTTACAAATATTCCTCCCAATCATCTTTATAATCTCTTAACAGTCAGCATCTCTCACAGAACAGACATTTTTACTTTTGATGTAGTCCAGTGTATCAACTTTTTTTGTGTGTGCATTTGGTATCTAAGTACTCTGCCCAATCCTAGGTCACAGAGATTTTTCTGTTTCTTCTAAAAGGTATACAGATTTGCCCTAACTCAGCGGTTCTCAACTTGTGGGTCGCCACCCCTTTGGGGGTCGAACGACCCTTTCACAGGGGTCTCCTAAGACCATCGGAAAACACATATATAATTACATATTGTTTTTGTGATTAATCACTAACTATGCTTTAATTATGTTCAATTTGTAACAATGAAAATACATCCTGCATATCAGATATTTACATTACGATTCATAATAGTAGCAAAATTATAGTTATGAAGTAGCAACGAAAATAATTTTATAGTTGGGGGTCACCACAACATGAAGAACTGTAGTAAAGGGTCGTGGCATTAGGAAGGTTGAGAACCACTGCTCTAACTGGTTTGGCTCAGTGGATAGAGCATCGGCCTGCAGGTCAGCCTGCGGACTGAAGAGTCCCAGGTTCGATTCCAGTCAAAGACATGTACCTTGGTTTCGGGCACATCCCCAGTAGTGGGTGTGCAGGAGGCAGCTGATCTATGTTTCTTTCTCATCAATGTTTCTAACTCTCTATCCCTCTCCCTTCCTCTCTGTAAAAAAAAAAAAAGGTATACAGATTTATGCTTTTCATTTACATCTATGATTTACTTTGTGTTATTTTTTATATAATGTGTGAGGTTTAGATAGAAGGGTTTTTGTGTGCATATGGATGTGCAATTGTTCCAACACCATTTATTGAAAAGAATTATCCTTTCTCAATTGAGTTGTCTTTGCCTTTGTCCAAAATCAGCTGGCTATATTTGTGTGAGTCTACAGAGAGTCCTTGGGTTACATCGCCATCCCTCATTTATTTATATATAAAAAAATTCTATCATTTTGACGTATGTACATATGTATTTTATGTTTTTATTATTTATTTACCACAAGTAAAGGTCAGGAATTGTTACCTTTCGTTTAAATTTTTTTTTTTTTACTGCATTGGGCGTCTGCCCCCTGGTGGTCAGTGCACATCAAAGTGACTGGTCAACCGGTCATTCTGGTCGTTCGGTCATAACGTCGTTGGGCTTTAATATATAGGATTCCACATGTGAGATCAGATGGTATTTGACTTTCCTTGATTCTGTTTGAAATCAGAAA